CAAGGGAAGGGAAGGGAAGGGAAGGGAAGGAAGGAAGGAAGGAAGGGAAGGGAAGGGAAGGGAGGAAGGAAAGGAAGGAAGGAAGGAAGGAAGGAAGGAAGGGAAGGAAGGGAAGGAAGGAAGGAAGGAAGGAAGGGAAGGAAGGAAGATACAAACAGAAAACAAAGTAATACATACAAAAAAAGAATCAAAGCCAGCAAGAAGAAAGCAAAACAAATCAAGACCTTACCTTACGACAATATATATCAATGTTCCAATTAACAGAATTCCAAAGATTGTCACCGGCACTGCAACAATCGCGCCGTGTATGAAGCACGGTTTACCAAAGTCATCCATGATGGCGGTAACATGGAAAAATTGCGCTAGAAAAATATTTTAAAAGGAATATTAATCAACAAGTTTTCTCTTCTTTGGCACTACAATTCTCAACGATGTTCTTCCAGCTTCGGTTAGCATTAAGTATTTGACGCGCTTTTCATTATATTGAATTACCTGGGCATTCGTACCATGCGCATTTGATGGTTTCGTTGCTTTGGTTTCTGCTGATGTTCTTTTTATCTAGTGAAGAGAAATTGTTCAGTTCAACACAAACAAACAAACAAACAAACAAACAAACAAACAAACAAACAAACAAACAAACAAACAAACAAACAAACAAACAAACAAACAAACAAACAAACAAACAAACAAACAAACAAACAAACAAACAAACAAGATTTACACGAACAAACAAACAGGCAAACAAAAGAACGAAACAAGTTAACATACATACCAAGAACAAGGATATTGTCTGAGTCGAGAAATATCGATACGCTTCCATTGACATCTCCTGTCGAAGTAATTTTCGCCAAATGAACTTCGTAGTTTGCATTTTGGGTGCGGAAATGCAGCACAGCCGTCACCTTGCCTGGAGTTCCTGGCTTCAACATCACCCCTGTCGAAATATCACCGTACAACTCCATTCTAGTTGATGTGACTTTTGCTTGAAACCATTTCGATGGACTATAGACGGTTCCATTATTTCGATAAATGATTCGTCGCACGGATAGGCGGAAGTTTTCTCCGTAGTGGCCTTGCCATGTCACTATCGCCGAAGTGTTCGTCAGCCATTGTGCATCGGCATCAATACTTTTACTCCGTGCTGGAAGAAAACATTCAAAATGAATTGAGTATATACTTCGTCTGTGATTGAGTAGAGACGCAAATTGTTTTCAACTGCGCGCGAATTGTTTTCGAATTGTACGCGCAAGTCTGTTTGCACGCGTCATCTAATTAACATTACTGTTGTCACGTGAGGACCCAAGTTTCCCATGTGTTTATGACGATGCACAAACCAATGGCACAAACGCGTGAAATGCCATTCCTTGCCTAATTTATCACGTGACTAATGCATGCGCCTAGGTCTATTGCGCACGTGAACATAAGTGAGCGTGCGCACTAATTATACTACGTCACAATGCCCAGGCAAAATCCCACAAAAAGTAGTTTTTCCTCGTGAAATTGACATAACCAAAACAGAATACAACTTATTTCAATATCAGCTGGTTAATTAAAAACAAAACTAATTAGGTAATATAGTAGAACCAGAATTCGATACCAATGTGTATAAAAGTTTAAAAATATCCTTACCTTTAAAGCGGCAATTTGTGCCATAGTAATTGCGCCGACAGACGCACTTGTACCCTCCTTCTACCTCGGCGGCAGAGACGGCGACAGAGCGTGCTGGGCATGAGGGAATAGCTGCCACACAACTGAGAACAACGAAATCGCTTAGGAATAGAACGCTTAGAACGAAGACGCACAAAATGTAAGGAAGATCCATTTGCACGTCTTCAGATCGCAAAAAAACTTTGCAATTAAAAAATGATGATTATCTGCGTCACTAATTGGTCCACTACGTCAGCTCACGTCATTCGCCCCAGTTTTCTCGGAAAACGTCATTCGTAACCAGCGCTATGCCCGCGACTTGCGACTCAGAGAGTCAAGAGCAATCTTATTTCATAAAATTGCTTTCTAAACCCTACACGTTTCGTCCGCAGGGTTTTTGAAATTTTTTCTTGATTATTTGCCTTCCTATTGAATGACAGTCAAACATTTCCTTGTGGAACTTTTTGTAAGCGGACACTGTGGTTAGAGGATATCAATCTTGGGTCCTAGCCAAGTGTCTATTATACTACTATTCTTAGCTCTCGTAATGATATGCTAAGATAAATAAGGCATAACAACATGAATTTGATATCACTGCATGGCATATATTATGTGCGTGGGTGGTTTAATAGACCCATAAAACATCAAGACAGCGATCAGGCGCTCCAGTCATGTTCAGGTCCAGTTAAGCGGCAAGCTTTCTGGAGGATGAACTAAAAACCAATGCTATAATTTTTGTGAATATATTTAATAAGAGAAATCTTATTTGGCAAAAGTCTTTCTAAGGTCTATAGGTTCGTCCACAGAGTTTATAAAATGACTGCTTTAATCTTTTCCTTACTATTGTATTCTTTAATTTCCACACCTCATCAATTTCTGAAATAAAAAATCTCGTTACTCGTTTCCAGTGAAAACTTTAAGTTGTACGTCACATAATGGCTGTTGTACAGTGTGTCCCCCAAAAAAGTACCTTCTATAGAAATTTATCCTATTGTTGTTAAGCACAGGATTTTATGCGACTGGTAATTAAAAATTCAATTCAATTGTGTTTACGTACTCTTGTGTCCAGCGCATAGTGCTCAGGCATTCAAATTATGACAATAGGATAATTTCTATACAGTAGAGGGTACTTTTTTGGGGACACCCTGTATATGTGGACAGTGAATGCAAACTGCGGAGAGTTGGTTTAGGTTTCCGCCTGTAGCCGGTTGCACTGGAGTTATAAGGCTTACTCGTTCTGGACCTCCACGAAGAACAGTTAGAAAAGCGGGTGTCCAAACAATTTCAAAACAATCACCCACCTTACTACACACATACCAGGGTTAGGGATGCCCCCTGGAATTGACGGAGGGAGTCCACCGGGGGATGGGGGGCCTGGAGGCAACGCTGGACCAGGGGCAGGCGGACGACAAAAGAGACCAACATCGCACTTTCCTTCGTAATCTTTCCACCCACCGCAACAATCACCTTAAAAATAAAGGTAGAATTAGGAGTCCCAATGTTCTTTCCTTGCAACTGAGTGCTGTACTCTAATTCGTGTCACTAATTTCTCGCCTCGAAGGGCCTTCGCTCGAAACGTCGAATTAAGTTCTCCTTGTATTTTTCAGGCAGTTGTATTCCCCATCAATCCACAGTTGTCTCGGCATAAATGCTAAAATTATTCAAAACAATGACTGGATGGCATTGAGAACAATGAAAAGACAATGGAACACTCCATGCAATTACAGGATACTGAGTAATTTGAAAGACCTTACTTTGTTTTTTAAAGTTCTGTACGACTATATATTTATTGATCCAAATAAATTTATGAAATATTATGTTATGCAAATTGATCATATCCTACCCTTGACCTACAGTTGCACTGCAGGCATTAAAGAAAATAAATATTTTTACAAGGACCGCACTCTTTACCCGCCCACGCCAAGGGCAACAATCACTTGGAAGTGAGGAACGCCGACTAGCTTGAGCACAAATACTCGTCAAATAAGAAAAAGGCTTATTGAATACTCCTTAAAGTTCAGTGCCTTTTGTTTCAAATAGGTAACATCCTGGTTACGCAAATGTACTAACGCATACATTTCAGTGCGGTATCAGTAAATATTTTAAAATTTGGGGGTCAAGTACAGAAGAGCAGTTTTCGGCACTTTTGGGCCGTTTAGACCAATGGTTGAGGCAATCTAACAAGTACATAAATCATGCAGTCTACTAGTACTGAAATTGTCTAATGTGAATCCTTAAAAGCGAGTCCTGATTTTTGTAGCATGATTTCTGTGGATATTGACCATTACCATGAAACCGCCTATACTATAGGAAAATAATTGAAGCTGTTGGTGATTTTACAGGCGTTTCTTGATATGTTATAATGACAGAAAAACCAGAAATAGTTTAACCAGAAATGTATATCTGGCTATCATCAGGCACTAACCGCATGATTACTTTAAACAAAATTGTTGTGGGAAATAGCTGGAAATGCATGGATTTTCCGGCCTTTCTTCCCAAGACCAACTACTGACTGTCCCAAGTACACACTATTCAGTTTACAAGGACACATTTTCCCTTTACAAGGACACAAAGTGTGTCAAAAAACACGCTATTTTAATGCCCAATTAATAAGTAGCACTCTTAACTCGACATCTCAGTAGCGGCATCAGTGACCTGTAGACTCACCTTTCTGTTTCGCGCAAACAGCGCAGTCGCAGTCACACACACCAGTCACCAGACCTCCTGGGCAATTCGCGGTTGAACATTCACAAGGGCCACGACACACGGGTGGAGGGACACCAGGGGGGAGCGGGACAGGACCTTGTGGTGGGGGGACACAGGCCTGACGCCGTGGACGCGAGTATGCACCAGCAAGTGATACCACGGCCAGTAGGAACACAATCTGAGGTTTTACTTTCATTTTTGACGCGTTTCAGGCTAGGGAATACTCCACAGCAGTTACACCTTCTTTATATATTTTCCTAAAAAAATTAAATATATGTATACGGAACAGTTCATACGAGGTTGCACAATGAAAGGCACTGACACACGGCTGGTTTACACACAACTAGTCAAAGTTTCTGTGATCCAAATAGGTATAAATTCTAAGTTTCGTAGATTTTCGGTAAGAAATGTTTGAGGGAACTACGAGTAAGTGTTAAACGAGTCATCCCCCTCAAAAAATTCTTACAAATCCTTCCGGCAAAACTTAGCCGGAATGGACTATTTGCATTATAGACTAAATTTTGATCTAGTTATAATCTTAAAATTAGTAATATTCCAGTTTCGTTGCGAAATGATGTAAACTGCGGATAATATAGGCTATATAGCCTTGCGAAATTTGCAATTTTCAGTCATTTGTATTACAAACGGGAAATTGATGCCCCAACACCCGATTGGGCTGTCAATTTCCCGTCATACAAAATGACTGAAAATTGCAAATTTCGCAACGCTATATTATCCGCATTTTACAACATTTCGCAACGTGATGAAATTTTTGTCTAGATCAAACTTTAGTCTATAATGCAAATGGTCCATTTACCTATGCAAAATTCCTACTGTTATCACAGAAACTTTGATAGTGTAAACCAGTCTTCAACGTGTGCCGCGCACATATATAAAACATTCGCATTGACCTATCAGTATTACAGTAACGGAATAATTCATACTTAAAACGTATGAAATCTCTAATAAACAAACCTTGCTTGATTTTGAAAAAATCAGCTACTCTGCCAGCAAGCCCTTTATCAAGTAGAATAATAATTCATTTATCCGATGGACAAGTTAAAGAACGCTTTCTATATGCATTTAGAGGGTTGCTGAAGTGCAATTGAGTATCGACGTCAGTGTTGCTTTAATTGAAGAGAGATTGCGCAGTTAGCAAGAATATTGTTGCCGTGTTTCAGTCCGTTTTCTCATAGTTGAAAACCGCATTTAAAGAGTTGAATAAGTATATCATAGAGGTATATCATATAAACACTCTGGTTAAAGTGCGAATAACCCCAAATATAATTTTGTGTCTGTGTAATATTTATAATAAAAAATCAACTATTTTTCACTGTCAAAGTTTCCGGATACGATGTCATTAGATGAATTGCAAATTAGTTTTCCTTTGTTTTTTTGTACCAAAAATTCACCTAATGACATCATATCTGGAACATTGACAGTGAAAAAGTTGATCAAGAAATAAGATGGGTTTTTTACTATGAAGATATATTACATTTCTTCTCAGAATGACCCAAATATTACGCATACAATGCCGGTCGTAGCATTTTCTTTTGTGTCGAATTGAAGTCATTAGTTCCACACTGTCGCTCAGGAAACAAAGAAATATGCTACGCATCGCTATACGATTGAAGTGGAACTGAAACTGGCTTTAGTCGCACTTTGACCTAGAAAAAATAATACTATAGTATTAGGGTTGACTTAATATTCCTGGGTAAATAGTTCCTGATCAATTTTCTCACTTCCTACCATACATAATATGTCAAGATATGATGGTTTGGAAGCCCAGCAAACTCAAAGCCACAGAATAGAAGGCCTTAATTTGTTTGATAGTATTACAACAAAGGCTTCAGTAGTTTGTAGCTCTGAACTTTGCTGGGCTTCCAGGTCATCGTATCAGTCTTGACAGCATAAAAGAAATGTTGAACAATTACAAGAGCTGGTCCAACATTGCCTACCATGCCTGGAAAAAACAACCACCGAAATAATTTTGAGAACGGAGCAGCAATTGACACGGGAAACTCTCGGCGCAGATCAACACTTGAATCATGGCACACAGTAACAAGAAATTAATGCTGACAATAATTCAAAATATTTACCAGAACAATATAGTTTTTTAGTCAAGATCGTTAACAATTTTTTTACTGCAAAACACTGGACCTAGTTCCAAAGAATCTGGTTATATTTGACCAGATGTCCTTGTTAAAATAACAAGACTATGTTAGCCCTTATTATGTTAGGTGCGTTTTGTTCCCGAATTATTAATGATCGTTTAGAAAGGCACAAGTCGAGTTTTTAACATGTCTTATTTCTCAGCGGAACTGTCCGGAACGTTTTGCCACTTAAAAGCCACTGTATATATTTCCTCATAAACGTTGATGCTTGTCCAATATTTGAAGTGAATTAAGGGAAAGCGGAAAGTGTGTGCGTCAATTTGAATTTAACAGCCGTTTTTTTGCGACTGACAAAGAGCGAGCAAGCAATATCAAAAACTTGTGCTGATTGAGAAAAGGGGCTCAATATATATATAGTTTGTGGTTAACGAATGGCAATTCAAAAACCGAAGCAGTGTATTGGTCAGAATTGTGTTTGCTATTTATATATTTTTAATTAAACACTAAGGAATCGGTACAAATGATGTTATTCTTTTTGTTCGAAAACATTGATATATGGCATGGTCCTTTCATTACCTTTGACTAATATTTCCTGCAGAAACGTTATTTCAAGAGAATATCCACTGTTCCGCTCTAGCTTGCAAGTAGCCTACGGTTGAAACGTGTTTCTGCCCGGGTCTATACACCGTAGGCTACCTTACAACACATAATCCCCATTCCCAGCATTCGGTACACCAATGACCAGTAATTTCAGGTAAATTTAGAGGTAATTTAAGCTGATTTTCAGAATACCCAAACAAGCTACGGAAAAGGGGTAAAGGTTTTCATACATCATTCAATCTGGTAAGAAATTTGCCAGCCGATAAATAATTTTAAATGATAATTTTAAATGTTCTTTCAAGAAAGACAAAGTTAAATTTTATTGCTCATTTCCCTACTGCATGCAGTAATTCTTTGTTGCTTTGATCTTGAAGTTGATAACATATTACAAAAACAAGCAAAATGTGGGAACTCTTTCATTTGTCTATAATTACATATGCAAAAACTCTTTCAATCTTATTTTAAGCCTGGCAGGTGTGAATTCAAAGTATATAATTTGCATTCCAATGTGTCAAGAGTGGGAACAAGTTCCCCTTATTTGGATCATAATATTTCTTGTCGGAAATACAGACATTCGGATCCATTTCCTTCCAGTACACAAACTCTTAGCTTAATATTTATTTTTAATTTTATTGAATAACACAGGTTCCTTTTTTATCTTTCTAGAATCTATGTTTCGTTTAAGAGGGTAATTAAATTATACACTGGAATATAAACATAGAACGGCGATGTTTCGTTTGATGATAGATCTCTGTTTCGTTTGAGAGGGTTTCTGCAGTGAGGCTCATCCAATCATTTCTGTGTTTGTGTGACTGTTTTTATCCAATGGTGACTTCGAAATATTTTTTGCTGCACTTAATTTGTGTTACGACTTTAATAGTCTCGGTTTAGGTCTATTAATATTTATTCTTTGTTTGTATTTTCCAACGATGCCGTTCAATACTATATTATAGTTCCAAAAACCGGCAAAAATTGTCCATCCCCAACAGGTGGGATAAGGCCATCATGTGGAATAGCTGAACAGTGTCTTTATGCAACTGTGACAAGTTGACAACGAATCTAACTGCTAATATATATGATACATAATGTCACATAGAATAACTTTTAATTTGCTCTGGTCCAACTGCCAGGATTTTGCATCACATTTGCAAACATTTCGGCACGGATAAAATTTTGCGCAAGCAAACGTTTTTGCGCGGATTATTCTTCGTTCAGTTTGAGTACACTAGCTATATGAAATAGTTTGAAAGTTAGTTTCAACTTAGTGAGTCTAGTCGACTCCTCTAGCTGTTGAGCTATCAAAGTCTACAGGGTGTCCCAAAAAACCCGGAAACTATTGAAATCACCAATAACAATTTAATTGTTAGAATTTGAATGCCTTAGCGCTCTGTTGGTTCCCACGAGTGCATAAATGATTGACATAAGTAAATTTTATGGATAAAGAAACTGTTTAAGAAGCTGTTTTTAATTCCCAGGAGCAGAAAATCGCGCACTTTACTAGGAGATATTCCTAACTAAATTCTAATACATGCACTTGTCAATATTTTACGCATCATTACGTCCAGCTGTTTGGTAGGGCATTCAAATTTAACAACAAGTGATTTCTATAGTTTCCGTTTTTTTGGGGACACCCTGTATACTGAAAGCCATTAGCGGTGAGCTCTTATCTTTTATAAGTATACGCGATTTCAACCCTCAGCCTCTAGAAATACCCTAGAGAGATTGCCTACAGAGATTGATTTCTTATCCTTAAAGCACACGAGAAATCTAGTCATTATCTCTGTTAAAAGCAACATTGTTTTTGTTTACGCTAAAATCGTAGGCGTATTCCTACAAAGGCGAAGTAGGCAAAGCCGTAGGATGACTTACACCGATAAAAGGAAATTCAATACGGTTGTCGAAGATCAGCCAGTCGCGATGAGAGACTTATATGAAAGTATATTCCATTCTGAAGGCTTGCAAGGGAAACACGACAGAGCAGAACTGTGTGAGGCCAGCTTGTACCGCCGGCGGAGATCTATTACAAAAATATTCCGCAACAGCAAATACGCGCCGGGCCTGGACGACATCGAAGAAATGGACGAAAGCTTAGCTGAAAATGGCACACATGTTAGGACGTCGAGCCCAACGACAATGTCCTTGCATTCTTTACATAAGGAACGAATCAGGAATACAAGGGGAAAGACTAGGAGATCGAGGTCAAGAAAAATGTCGACGCGCTCGAGTTTGGATGCACTTCCAGAGTCATAAAATCTGATGTAATATTATGCCGCGGTAGCTGTAGAAATATGTACGTTGGTTTGTAAAGTAAGGAGAATTTTGTGAACGTTGAATCTAGAATTTAACAAGGAAACGAACAGATTATGGTATTAAAGCTTAAGGAATCGCCCCTCTCGTAGAACGAATAGAATGCTGTCGAAATAGGGACAAGATAGCTGAATATAAAGATTAATGTGTTATAACTTCGAACGTAGGTGTTATATTACAACACTCGGAATATAAACTATGCTACGGAATTACAGTCAAACACTGGAATACTAATTATGTCACGCTACGGTTCACCGAACTTTTACTTTGTATCAAGATGTGAATTTCCAACTAAACACAATTTATATGTGTTTAACATCGGTAAAACGTGGACAAAAAAAAACAAAATTGGCTTTGCCAACTGTAGAAACGAGGGGACATTGGAACAGCAGTACCCTCAATTTTAAACTTACTAAAATCTCAATAATTTACATGTATGGAATTCGGAATTCAATGCATCTCGTGGCATGTGTCTTTGTCTCTGTTGATAAACATTGACATAAATTCGAGTAAACGTTGCTATAAATGGAAACGAAGGAAAATGTTTGAATTTTTTAAGCACTTTAAAACAAATATCACTCTTCAGTCAGGAAGAGTAAGGACTAAGGCGTTTGGCTAAACGGCTAAAAACATCAAAATATTTACAAGGAAATAGATTCGATATAGGTTATTCACTTATTCTAGAATGAATTTAATGTTAAATTTTGCTGAGTAAGCGGTCACCAGGAAAATTAGCATAAATAGCAAAAACAAGTCATATGAGTCACGAGACATTCCGTGATGTGAAGAATTTGGCGCCAATTCAGAGTGGCGAATATTGGCCAAAACGGAAACTTGATGTTTTGGTTACGCTATATTCGCTCACGTATTTGCGCCGAAATCTTGTAATGTTTTAAAATAACTATATACATTATATGCTTACATTTTTTCCTCCACGTAAATTTTGGTATAGTTTATATATGCTGTAGTTTTGTGTTGGTAGCGAACTTGAAAAGACGAAAAAATATCTTACAAAAAAAATGTTAAAAGTAATATATATTTCAAATATAAATAGTATTTATTTCGCAATTTTGTAAAATAGTTTTGTAAAATTCAAATAGGTATCTGTAAATATTTTGTTACAGTAAAAAATCAAAAAAGAACATTAAAATAGTTTATAGTAATTGCTTTGTTGTGTGATATGCGGAATTCGGCTGTAGTGTAGAAACTTCCCAATTTAAGCCTGTCAAAAGTAACAGGACTATTATGAAAAATAATTAAAAATATAAGATTACTTCGCTAATGAAAAAATGGGAACCATGCGATCAGTGTTGCTAGCAATGCTAGGATGTCATCTAACCTAAAATATATTTGCCTGTTTTCAATACGCAAAACAATGGTTGCTGACTTGCACTTTTAGCCCAGCCAAACACCGCCTTGGCACTTGGCCACAGGAATGGAATAACAGGCAGTAATTAATGCCCTAACCCATAATCAATAGAATAAGAAAGGTGGGTTAGCGTTAACCCTTGGTTAAAATTTAACCTGCTGTTTTAATTTGGTTTGTGTATTTCCGCACGTCTGTTTAGGAGATCACTTTTCTGATGTTTTGACTGATACCGATCCAGACAATTTTTCAGCGGAAACATTTCCAAATTCATCACAAGCTATTAGGAAATTTGCTTTGAATTGTAAGTTAACCCAGAGTTCAGCTGATTGACTTTTGAACAACCGGCCCCTCACCCTGAGGATCTTTTGTCTTGGTTTATGCAAAAAATGGTCGGTTCATCTTCAGGTGTGTATTGACTATTGTTTTTTCGCCCAACCAAGTCCAAGGGTGGGTTGACTACAAAATTTTTGTAGTTCGCTATAACTACAGCTACTTCAAAAATATGTAGTCAGCTACAACTACTGCTACTTTTGAACAAAGGTAGTTCGCTATTGACTACAGCTACTGCTTAAAAAATGTAGCGAACTAGTTCGCTATTTCGCTATGCTATTTTTTAGTTTTACTGTATTTGGAGCATCTATACTAACTCAGACTGTAATGTAACCTATAACAAATCGACTTACGAGTAGCAACAGTAAACACAAAGCAACATTTTTGTAATCACTACAGTGTTCAGGAGTGCAAATTGACTATTGAGTATCGATTTTAAGCAAACCGTGTCTCAATATCATGCTATTCTATCAAGTTGTTAACAATTTTTAAACTGAGTAGCGAATAGCGATTTGCTGTTTGAAAAGTAGTCAACTAGGCTACTATTAGGCAAAATGTAGTTCGCTATAACTGCAGCTACTGTTTTAAAAATGTAGTGAAAAACTACTAGCTACATGAAAATTGTATAGTTCGATAGCGAACTACAACTACTTCGCTACTACCCACCCTTGCAACCAACCAATAGCAATGTGTTGGTTTAAAATTACTCAGTCGTGATATTACACAATGGTTAAATGAAAATATAGCTATTGGTTACTCTGACAATAATACAATACACACGTGACGATGTGCATAAACCAAGAAAACACAGATGAGGATTTTGTCAGCATCGAGTTTTCTAAACTTCTTATATTGAGTGAGCCTAGCCCAAATTCCTGTTAGGAGCATTTCCAAACTGAATTCCCCAATTTCATTAAATTGCCGAATTGTTCTTCTTCCGTAATAAATTAGTAAATATGCCAGTCTTAGTTAAGTGTTTATATTGAGCTATACATGCGGTCAGGTTCAAATGTCTTGACACTTATGATAGCAAATAAATAATGTCATTGGTTTCCATAACATAGATTTGCCACACAAGGCCAATACATAAAGTCATAAACACAAGGTCAATAGCACATGTCGTGAACAATCTAGTCATTCTGAGAACTGCCTTTCCTTTTAGATTTGACCGGTGAGCTCCATATATACCTGGACCGAGAACTCGAGTCCAGAAAAGTGAAGCCAGTTTCATGTCAACCGCGCAGACAAAAACAATAGAAAAGGACTGGAACCGACGTCCAATAGCTCCTTCAAATTCCGCCTTGGCAAACAGTGTACCGAAATTTCGTATTTTGACATCGATTTAAAGAATAACACTATTGTTTTATTAACTGATAACTTGGTTAGCGATATGGTCCGAAAAAGGAAATTAGCTGGGGAAAAAATATTAAAAATGTTTCCGACCTTCATCGCTATTGGACTTCAATTCCGCCATCTTGTCTTCATTTTTATATTACAGCTGACTGAAGTTGACAGGTCATATGCTGGGCTGACCCACTTAGTTAAACCTGCTTAAGCCTGTTCTCCACTACACGCATGAAAACGCACAAATTATTACAGATCTACAAACAAGTTGTAACAGGTTGTTGTCAAGCCGATACTATGTTCGCACTGCTTGTTCCCAGTTGTTGTGACATCCCTGGAACAAGTTGTTATCATTTCGTTATAAGGTTGATAACAGACTTGCTACAAGTTGTTCCAACAAGACTAACTCAGGCTGTTCTAACAAGTTGCCACGAGCTTGTTGTCATCAACTTGATAACAAGTTGTAACTTGCTGCGAATCTGTTGGTCTTCTTCGTGAGAAAAAGGTAGTTTTCACAGCGGATATCTGGCGGCCATGTTCTTAGCAAGTGCCCTAAAGAGAGGCATTCACCCCCCTGGAACATTAAATTTCAATATATTTTCAGGGGGGTGATGGTCTCTCTTTAGGGCACTTGCTAAGAACATGGCGGACTGGAAAAATCCCTTACGCCTCATCAACCTTGGCCTCATCAACCTTGTTACAAGATGATAAAAACGTATTCCAGACTTGTCAACAATTGGGAACAAGCAGTACAAACACATGTTGTTGACAATGGGCGAGATTTTTACACGCGTAGGCGAATTTATTCGCGCGAAGCGAATTTTTCATTAGTCGGAATCGCTAAAGACCGTTTTCCACTAGGCGGAATTTTCCGCGCGAAGCGGAATTTTTTTGTCTTGTGATTTCTCGGGTGGACTAATTAGAAAAGACAAAGAGATATTTCGCTCCGCGCGGAAAATTCCGCCTAGTGGAAAACGCTGGGCCTTAATTAAAGAATAAGTCACTTGGTGTGAACAAATTCGCCCAGTGGAAAATGGGTTTCACAATAGGGAATTTGGGTGGAAACATAAAAGACAACGGCCAAAAATATATGTTATTATCTTTTCACAAATATAGGCCAAACATAGAATGGGTGTGATATCTTATTAAGTTCTAATATTGTAAGAAGGAAATGATTTGTTCCAGCCCACACGTAACACTTAAACACTTGAAAATGTAAAGTTGAAATATTAGTTGTCTTATTAAATAGCCCACACCCAGCCAACACATTTCAGTTTTATTGTAGTCTACTTTTTGAATGTACTTGTCTGGTACTTGACCTATCCATTTCGCTTTATTTGAGCTATGCACATCATATTTCATTATACCTGATGGTTCTTGTTTATTATATATGTTTATTACTGGCATATATATTAAAAATACGGAAAAGTGTGTTGAAACAGGAGGGGCTATCCCGCTTACCCGAGTGTTTTTCGTATACTTTGAGATGTTCTATACGCCGGTAATAAGCGGTTTTCGAGTTTGTTATATTACTTCTCAAACGGAAGTCAATTTGAAGAGAAATTCAAGGCGATATTGAGCTAATTTATGAGCGTTTATTACCGTGGTATCAAAACAACGATACGGTGCTTGGTTTCCTTTATGTTTTGCTCTTAAATTATATTGCAATTGTGATAAAAAAAATTCAAGTAAGGTTGTCATGGTCAGTTGTACATTCCGAGCCCAAGGGCAAACAAGCAAGATGGGTATACCAAATTTTAGTCAGTATTTCTAGCTGTTTAGGTAGCCTATGAGCATAGTTCGTTTTTGTTTTGGCAATTCTCAGGGCCAGGGGTATACATGATTTATGTCTATTATGATACATTTCGTCATTTATACAATATGCGTCATATACAATAATATTTATTAAGATGAAAATCGTACTTCATACAAAAACAGTCTGAAGTTTCAGAGCGCTGAATTTAAACCAGAAAAAACCCGACAGTTCTCTCAGAATTGAAAACTTCTCTTAGAGCCAGAGAAGTCGTTAGACCAGTAAAATTTCCACCACATTTCACGCAAATAGATAAAAGTGCGTGCTCGCAGGCACTCTTCGTGTTCCCGTTCTTGCTTACGGCGCATGTTCTCGGCCCAGGACTTTTCGAGTGTACGGCGTGTTTTCAAAGATTCGTAATAGTGTTGAGCACGATCGAGACGAAGCCTAAGGGAAAATTTGTTAAACCTTGAGCCTCACTAGTGATGAAACGAGTAATACCCTTTGGTGAGTAAAACGCAAAGACGTTTTTTCATATTTTCGTTCGGGTGTGTGTGTGGATAAATATGGGGGGGGGGTGGTGCTGCTGCTTACTTTGGCCGGGGCCTGGTGGCAACGCCTGGAAAGGCCAAGGAAAAATTTGTTTTCTGGGCCTGCATGGCAAGATCTGAGACCTGAATATTGGTAATTTTACAAATTTAGTAGTAAGAATAATCAAATATGAAACTATCAAATCAAATTATATATAATTTAGGGGGGGTGGGGTGCAAAAACCTTTGGGGGCGGTGCCAAATGTCTCTGAGGGGGTGAAACCCCCCCCCCCAGAAAATCCGTGCCTGGGTAAACGGCGTGTTTGTTTTAAAATCATCTTTCAGAGATGAAATGCAAAAGGATGTAGCTTGCACGTGACCAAATGATGGCTTACTACAGGGTGTCCCAAAAAACCCAAAACCATTGAAATAACGTATTGTTAAAATTTGAATGCCCTAGCACTAAGCTGAACGCAAAGATACGTGAAGTATTGACAGGGTGCATATATTAAATATTGACTTATTAAGAAATTAAAAGATCTTTGTAAAGCGCACGATTCTCTGCTCTTGGGAATATAAAGCAGGTTCTTAAACAGTTTATTTATACATAAAATTTACTGATGTCAAGCTTTGATCACTTGTGGGGTCAGCAGAGTGCTGGAGGCATTCAAATTCTAACGATACGTTATTTCAATAGTTTTGTTTTTTGGGACACCCTGTAGAACAGTGAACTCTGTTCAAGTAAGGCGGAAAGTCATTACGAGAAATCGGCATCATTTCATGTAGAACTACCATCATTTTTCAGCCGACTATTTTTTAAGTCTGGCTTTACTACGATCCTAGGAAACTAGAGCATGTGGATGGTCTCACAGAATAACCAAATTTTCGAAACACTTCATCGTAAGAAGCAGAGTTATCAGACGGGTAAAAAATAAGTTCAGCAAAAATCCCGAGGAGAAACACCAGCAAACTTTTCAGTGTTTTTTCGGGACAATCTACGAGAAATTTGAACTACACACCGAATAATATGGACTGCAGTAATTGTACCAATCTTACGTTTCATTTAGTTTTTAGCTTTCAAGTGGGGGTATTTATCACTAAAAATTACTTACTCTCTTTTAATTTTTTCTAACATTTCAGATTCTTCGCGTTGCGCGGTAAGATCGTGCAATATTGCCGCACGTTTTTTGTCCGCGACCATCGCCAACTGTTCGTGATACAGCTTGCGTGCTCTCTCGCGTTCTTCGTTTAGTTTCTCCGGTGTTGCATCGTTCTTGCCAAATATAGGTTCAGCCGAGTCCGGTTCAGCTGCTGGGATAGGAAGGGATTTGAGTTGAACCTGATGAAAAAAAGAGGGATATTAGGTGGTAATTTACCAAAACATGCCAAACCGAACCATAACAAACCATACCAAACTATACCAACCATATTATACAAATCATATCATACGATACCAAGCTACCATACCAAACCAGGACATACCATATCATGACACATACCATATCATATCATACCATACCACGACACACCATACGAAGAAACACCATACCATACCTAACCACACCACACCATACCATACCAACACCATTATCTACTGTACTTTAAACTATTCGTAACTACAACTCTACAGCGATATTAATGCATCACTAAACTATAATCTATAACTACTCTTACTGCTTTAATTCTGTCTAACTTCCTCGCCAATGACCCAGGCAATCTCGGAACCAATGTTTTCTCAAACGGTTTGATAATATTTGGTTTTGGCAATCTCATGCGATCAAGAACTGAACGATTGAGTAAACTCCGACGAATTATATGTCGATCAATGTGAACCTACAATAGTATAGTGGCATTAGGAATTAACTTTATTAATAGACAACTCTGTCAGTTCTACAATGTTCTTCTTAGAGGCCCAGGATAGGTCTTACGGGGGACATTTCAAACTCTAGATTTACAAAATAAAGGTTTGAAGAGTGTTCCAACTATGTTTCAACTTTTAATATATGACAGTGTTGGGAAAGCATTAAGAACAGCTATAACCAAGGTGTGACTGCCAACTCTCGATCCCTAAACCAGAACTGAACTATAACATTACGTATACTGGATAGCTCTGTCAGTCCTAGTCTAGCGTTAGTATATTCGAGGAAAAGTAAGCTAAACAAACTTTATTTATAGTAAATTGCTCCAGCAGTTCCAAACAGTCTTACCTGTGCATTTAGTGCATCACGATAATTTTGCTCATCGAATTTCTTATCTTCAAGGTATTGCTCTCGTTGTTGTGCCAACCTTGAGAGAAGAGAGTTCATGAACAAATCTCTGTAATAGTTTGTTGTTGTTGTTGTGTAGGAATAGTAATCTCAAATCATTTGCTAAAATGTCCCAAACATGAATCGTAGCCAAGGTTGATAACATAGATTCGTATCTGAAGCGTTTCTAGGAAATGGATGAGACTTACTCTTCAGCCAGCTGAACTTGTTCCAATCTATCCAGAAATTCGTGATCGGATTTTTCTTTTAACATTAAATAGTTCTTTTCATCAACCTATATATTACGCACAATTCAAAGAAGTGAGAAATTATGCATGTGGATAAAGTTCTAAAGAAAGATAGTGGCAGATATGTTTCGCTACACATATTTGAGTGAATGAAGCTAATCCCAAAAAAGATTAAATTCATAACCCAACTTTTAGACAACTCCGTTATAGCGTCCTCAAGAGAGATGATCTGAAATCTAATGTGTTCTCAATAGAGGAAGTAGTTAGTGGGGTGTACTAATCATCAGAAAGAAAATATCTCAACCTGAGCGAGTCGAAGGGTCTTTCCCAGGCTTGCCCGACTTTAGGGACCGCCTGCCATGTAGGCTAGTCGAAGGGCTACTAAGAGCGCCTGTGGCAGCCACCACATGGCGCACGGAGCACGGTGCACTCATGGAGCACGGTTATGGTGGAAGGGTCAGTTTGAGGCTTATCCCACCCACCCTGTCAACTTTCCCCGTGGGAGGAAACCGAAGTACCCGGAGAAGTACACTCTTTTCACATGAGTGTGCACAGCGAGAATCGAAGCGACGACCTCAGAGGCGAAAAGCGCTTGCTTTGACGATTGCATTAGCAGCTCACCTGTTTTTGAAGATCGTTGGAATATTCAGCTTGTTTTAAAGAGTACGGAGGTGTGAGTGCTCGGTTATGAAACAAAAAGGATCTCTAGAAAAATAAAACGAGCATTTCGTATTTAAGGAAAATACAATTGTAAGCTGGCAGCATAAGTAACATTGTCCCAACTTTGAAAATATGCAATCATTAACTTCCCTTCAGGAAAGAATACTGTAGGTCAACTTACATGGAATTCGAGAGGTCTTGCGTTCTTCTTTTCCTAACAAAAACAGTTTATATTGAAACATTTTAAAACCAATTTTGTTTTTGTTTACGAAACCGAAATCACGAGAGCCACCGAGGGCGTCAATCTTTGGGGGGGGGGGGGGATGCACCCCTACTTTTTGGGATGGGGCGTAATTACGTCCCCCCCCGACTTTCTGGAATGGATTATTGCCCTTGAAGCTTACCTTTATAGCTTCTGCGACTCCAACGTTAAACGCAGCTGTCGCTTGGTTAATTTTTCTGTTCGTGAACTGCTTTGCCTGAACGTGAACGAGATAGTTAGTTACAGTTATCAATCAAGACTCGACAGTCAATCATTTATTGAAATTACTAAATGAACTCATGACTCAATTAATCAATCATCTAATCCATGAAGTAATGTAGTCAAACTATCATCTAATCAACCAATGAAATGATGAGGTAATCAAGATATCATCTAATGAATCAATTAATGAACTAATGGATTAGTGAAAGGGTTAGTTTTGGTTAAAGGAGGAAAACCAGGAAAAACTCCTCTCGAAGCACCGACCTGTTCTCTCAAGACAGCGTCCAAATCTTTAGTATGTTGATATTGCTGTAAGCATCTATCATCCTCCTGTTCCCGTCTCTTGTTTTCTTCTGCTAAATATATCGGAATATTCTTGCGACTTCGTTGGTGACATAAATAACACAATTCTTGTCCCGCCTTATTGTTATGACAACATCTGAAGGAAAGGACAAAGCAATGAAACGTAAGCAAACAAAATTTTATTATGTCTTGTAAGACATTTGCTGGGGTCACTGGGCTTCTATATTTATGTGTCCCCACACTTGCACAAAAACCGAATTAACTAGCGTTAGTACGCTGGGGAAAATGCCAAGCTGCTAAGCAAGAAATTAGCTAAACGTGAACCGATCCGAGACCACCTCTCGAGGTGGTTTAGTTTACTGTAGATCGATCTGGAATCTTATCGATCTTGTCTCGTTTATGGTTGTCCACCATTCGCCCAATACGGCTCTGAATCGATTTCAGATCGATCTAAGTCGCTACTGTGAACGGCTCTTTACACACAATAGGCATAATATACAGCAACTTTACACATATACCTAACTGGAGCAGTACGACAAACACGAGCAGCTATAACACACGAAATTTCAAAACAGTTAAACTAGTACAATACAGCTATGCTTGTCTGCGTGTCCCCTAGATTCTTGGAGAGCATAGTTACAGGTCTTCATATTTAAACATCACTTCAGACAGTCTATATGTTCCTTGACAATTGCTTTTTAATCCTTTTATTTGCAGTGCAATCGTAGCGTGTATTCATAAGGATTTAATATCTTTCATCTCAAATCCAGCTTACTTATTTTCATTGTCTGTCGTTAATATTTACCCAAATAAAACCTAAACTTTCATTACAGTATGTCTAGACTCTAGAAGTTTGTAATGATGTAAGACGCGACCTGGGGCCGGTTGTATAAAAAAGTGATTAAAGTTAACTATAGTTAGTGGAAATGTCATCCAATAAGAAGCGCGTATTTGAGAGTTAATCACTATTTAACTACAAAATAGTGATTAAAAAGTGATTAAGAGTTTTATACAACCGGCCCCTGGTTAAAGCCGGTTACAGACGAACACGTTTTCTATGACAAGTTTTTATGTGACAAGTTTTATATATTTGCTCGTCTGTACGCGCAGCTTTGACAACTTTTTCTATGACAAGTGTAGTAGTGTATTTGTTCAAAAGCACTTGTCATAGAAAAAATTGACAAAGTACAAATTTTGTTCATCTGTATGGGTCGACAAAGAAAACTTGTCAATGAAAGTAATCTGAGCAATTGATGTGATTGGCCAGTGGACTCAGGGCTCGAAGCAGAGAAAAAATATGGCCTGCCAGTCTTAAAATTTTTTGGCAGGTGAAATAAATTTTAGCCTGCCATTTTTATTCATTGAACTGCCGAATTGGCGATGTCTCATATGAGTCATATTGTAAAAATCAATGTTTTCATGATATGCAATTTTGTTATTTTTAAACTGGTCCACTTTACTACACTCTAAAAACACTCTGGTTAAATTTGGGTTAATTCAACCAGTACGGGGTTAAAAATCCACCTACACAAGTCTGGTTAAAAAAAATTAACCATTTTCCTGGTTAAACGTCCAAAAAAGTGTACCAAATTTTTGTTGAATTGATCATTTTTAACCAGGAAATGGGTTAAATTTAACCAGAATGTGTTGGGTGGATTATTAACCCAATTCCTGGTTGGATTTAACCAGAGTGTTTTTAGAGTGTACAGTAAGCTTGGATTTATATTTCAAATATAAACGTATTTAATCAACTAATCTAGTATATATAAGTTGTGGTGAGCAAATGAAATGAAATATATCTGTAGAATTTCACCTGCCAGATTTTTTTTTTACTTGGCAGTTCAGATTTGTTTTTGCCTGCCATTTCTAAAATCTGGCCTGCTTTTGGCCATTGACAGACCGCTATTTCGAGCCGTGAGTGGACTATTATAATTTTTCTGTCATGGAGGCGATAAACACCTTACGTTGGACTGATTTGGTGATAACAAATCTGTTAGAATTGCTCATATCGAGAGAGAGTTTATGGAATATTAATTTTTAGAGTTTATGGAACTGTCAAAGTAAACTTGTTGACACGTTCACACCAGGAAATAAAACTTGCCATATGAAAACTTGTCATAAAAATTTGTTGCATATACACACGTACACTTGGCAAATAAAACTTGTCACATAAAAACTTGTCATAGAAAACATGCTCGTCTGTAACTGGCTTAAAGCAGGTAAAAACCCCAAAATCCTGATATTTGAACATATACCTTATACCAGCATCACCCACTCGTCCCACTGTATTTTTTTATACATGCATGAACTTGTGGTTAGAGCTCGACAACTGGACTCTGTAGCTCAGTTGGTTAAGGTAATATGAGGTCCATTTCCACTCAGGAAAATTTTCCACAGAAGGAAAATTTTGTAAAATGTGATTGGCCGACACAAATTTTCCGTGCAGTGGGAAAAAATTTTGAAGTTGAAAATTTTCAACTTTTAACAATGATATTTGCGGAAAATTTTCCTGAGTGGAAATTTTTCTTGAGTGGAAATGGGGCCTTGAGAGCACTGCACCGGAATGGATTTTTCGCAAATTTTTCTAAAATTGTAGCTATATAATCGAAATTTCCGTTAGTGCTGTGCGCCGGAGTTGCCGGAGCCGGAGTTCTGCCGGAGCTCCGGCGGTTTTTCCGACGCCGGAGCAGAATTTTGTATGCCGGAGCCCGGAGCCGGAGTTACGTTTTCCCAGCTCCGGCAAAATGACAAGAAAACAATATGAAATGAGACAAATGTGAAACGATTGTTAGTTACTGCAAACTGCCAATTGCTGTTCAATGAATTCATCATAGACTCAAACTGCCACAGCCCACAGGAACAGCGTCGAAAAGCTGTAATACGATCGCAACTTACAAACGTCATGCTTTCATGAAGCCATCTGACTTAGCGCTACATAGTCTGTGTATTCATGTCTTGTAGATAACGCAAAAGTACAAAACAAATATATATAAACCTTTTGAAAATGATAGAGTACTTTGTTTGCGTGCGAACAATTGCGCTGCACGGAGTCTGAGAGTGTTAGCGTCATGCCTCGCGTCATGCCTCGTGTCAAAGATTTTTCGAGGCTGGTTTCCATATAGATATTTTCTGCGTGGTTAAATGTTTTAACTGTTTTGTTTCCTGAGTTATGTTAACTGATAAGTAGGATGCGCGAAAAGGGTTATTCATAATAATATTAATAAATGTTGTCTGATCGTAAAACATTTATTTAATATTTTATGATGTGGCCGGAGCCGGAGCTCAGAGCTGTAATTCGGCCGGAGCCGGAGCCGGAGATGAAAAACCGGAGTTTGCACAGCACTAATTGAAAAACCGGAGTTTGCACAGCACTAATTTCCGTCTGCAAAAACCGTTCAACTAGGAGTGATAGAGCTATTGAGGGTAAATAAAGTTAGTTTAGTTTAGTTACCACAACTTACCTAAATCCAGGGCTTTTTACGACGACTTTCTTAGCGGTTGTCTTTGGGGAGGCTTGACTTTGAGATGGCGAGCCGTTGCGACTGCGCGATAATCGAGACAGCTGACGTAGTCGGATATTATGAGGGGACGATAAGGGTCTATGAGGTACTTTGTTAGGATCATCAGGGATAACCGGTGATTGTTTGGCTTCGTATGCTAGGGACTGTGCGCGAGTTGGAGTCCTAGGAGTAAGTACCGGTGCAATCGGAGTTGCAAGTCCTGTAGTATTAAGATAAATGCGTTAGTGAACTTGTTAGTTGAAATGCAACTAGGATCGAACCAGCGCTCTAACCCATCTGAGCTACAGTTGTCAGCTCGACAATTGGACTTTGTAGCTCAGTTGGTTAGCGCGCTGGTTTGATTCCTAGATGCAATTTTCAGTTGTTCCTGGTTAGGTCAATATGAATGTATAAAATTTACACTTGAGATTTTCATCTGCAAAATCCTTCACCAATAATAAACATACTTTCATCATCTTTACATTCTTCAATAGTAGTCATGACAGGATTATCGTCAACATTACTTGATTTTCTACTGTCTCTTGATTCGGGAGCTCCGCTGTTGTCCTTTCGTTTCTTGTCGTCTGGATTGAGACTGATCCTTGAAAAATTGAAAAAAATTTTTTACTGGATAGTTCAAGACTGTTTTGCCTAAGGATCCAGTTAAGATGATCAAAAGATGAGGATTTACCACAGGAGAAAATCTAAACTAAGCTGACTTTAATTGTTTTTGTTTGTGGAAACACCACGTAAATTTATTACTGCAAAGCTTTCGATCCGTAAGCCCGGATCTTCATCAGTGCTAATTATTGGCACTGATGAAGATCCGGGCTTACGGATCGAAAGCTTTGCAGTAATAAATTTACGTGGTGTTTCCACAAACAAAAACAATTATATTCTATCGCCATGCAAACATTTAAAGAACTTAAGCTGACTTTATTTATACTGGATAACTCTTGGAGTTATAAACTGTTCTGCCTAGCTATAGACGTCTATAGTAAGGTACATTACATCCCTTATTGATCCAGTGTTACTACAGAAGAAAATCTAAACTAAATAAACTTAATTATTACTTTATTGCTCTGTCAGTTCTAAATTGTTCTCTCTAGAGTTCCAGTAAGAGCAATCTCTTATTGATCTAGTGTTACTACAGAAGAAAATCTGATTACTAAATCAACTAAATTATTACTTTATTGCTCTATCAGTTCTAAGCTGTTCTTTCTAGAGTTCCAGCAAGAGCCATCTCTTATTTATCTAGTGTTACTATAGGAGGAAACTTAAACTGAACTAACTTTATTATGTAGAGTCAGAACGGAGGTAAATTATAATCAGATAATTATTGTGTATTGCAGGAATGGTACCCCTAACCATACAAATGAAAGCTACATGCAGTAAAACACTTAATTTATACTGCATGGATATAGCTCAACCAGTTCTAATCTATATTCTCACTAGAAGTGCATTAGGGGCTATCTAGCTCTTACTGATCCAGTTAAGGTGGAAACCTAAACTAAACTGACTTTACATATACATATACTAACTCCACTGTTTTATCAACACCCCAGAACTCCACAAGGACTGCGGAACTGGGGGGCGGGGACATGCCTCTCCCCACTTTTTCAGTGGATAAAAGAATTAACGGATAAAATCCAGCCTGGCTGTGTGGCAATTTTGGCTCCTGTACTATCCTGCCCCCCATCCACTTTAAAACAGAATCTGCGGTCCCTGCTCCACCAGAACTCACACCATTTAAATTACCTTGGTAGAACCACTGTGTTACCAGTATTTGGTCTAAAGTTAATAATCTCAGAAAAAACAGAATCTGTTGTGTCAGGTCTCTGAAAAGGAAACAATTTTCAAAAGTTTATAAGTCCACTGAGCCAGAAATAATATCAAATTTTTAGTGCTCAACTGTTTTTATATCCGTCTCTATGCCAAGTTTTATATTGACAGACAAAGAAAGGTCATTATGGATATTATACAATGCCCAACTCTGAAGTTTAGGGCCCTCCTATAGAGCAATCATTAAAACTCTTACATTTCTCAAGGCGTTGACAAGTTCACCAGTATTGTCCATGCTCTTCACAAATTCTTTATAAAATTTCATCTTTACTCTTGCGTCTCTTAGAGAGAGACAACCGATACCAGAAAATATGAACTCAACATTACGCTTGACATGTAGAGATCTCGATACGGCTTGCAACACCTCCTTGACGCAACTTTCTACAACTTCCCGAGGGTAAGGCAGATCCGAGGCTATTACGGTGAAGTTCAGTGGAAGGATTGGTATCTGGCCTGAAATAAAAAAGACCAAATGACCAATGTATCAATTATTTATGATTGAACAGCACCAGTCATCAAATGTTTAACTCAGTGATCAATGCACCGATATGGAAATGTACAGATATTCCATTAACCTATATTTAATTAACCCTTTAAGTGGCAATGTACCCTACTTTAGTATTTTACTCTGTCTAACACCAGACAATTTTACTTGTCAAGTGCTACCACTCAATGGGTTAACCAAACAATGGCCATGCATCCTCTTAACCCTTTAAGTGGCAATGCACCCAGATGCGCCCTACTTTAGTATCTTACTCTGTCTAACGCCAGACAATTTTACTCGTCAAGTGGAGAGTGCTGGCACTCAATAGATTAAGGGCCAATATTAGCCAATACCGATATACTGTATTTACTTCGAAATTCACAAATCATTTTAAATAATTGAATCCAATATTTTGAATTTATATATAAGGGTCAATATACTGATATCCAATATACGGACAATTTGGATATCGGTGCATCACTAATTTAATTCTGGCAGGTCATCATACCTGTTACATAATGTTTAGTATAATTCAGGGCATGGGTCTGAGCAAACTTTTCAGCCAGTTGAAAGACAGGTCGTTGCACAACAATAACCTGACGTCCATGACCCATGTCTAGGTTCCGCTGAGAAAATGTGAAACTGCCGAGTCCCGGAATGTTCACACCCTAAAATATAAGATAATATTTAAGATTAATTTCTGTCCATATATTTCAAGAAAATGCTTAATCCTTTAAGTGACTATATACCCATATATGTGCCCTACTTTATTATTGATTCCATCTCATGCCAGGTAATTTTACTTGTCAAGGGGAAACTAAAATCACACTTACTATAATTGTCTTAAAGCCTTCTTTCAAGATTCGAACAAAATAACTTTCAATTAGAATTTTAAGAAAAATTAAATCGAAAACACTCGATATACCTTTTGATTGCCCATTTGCTTCTCAACAAAACGAGAAACGTTTTCCCAAACTGCTGCCACATCTTAAAACCCAGAAAATTCACAATTAATAAAAGTTATGATATTATATACAGAATATACAACACAATATATTTAACAAATTGTCACATAAATGAGTCTCTGTTTACGTTTATATATTAAAAGGTCAGAAAATATTAAAAATTCATACCTTCTTCACTGAATTTTGAAATGCTGGAGAATTTATTCTTTTTTATTTCGGTGAAAAGTGACGGCTCCACTTCAGCCATGTCTGTTTTTTGAGTTCTAGATTTTTATTTTAATTTTTAAAATAAAAATATAAAAGGACAACGCTCACATTGCGTTCGCCATTGTTGACAACGCGAATTTCGCTTCTGTTGCTATGGTAATTGAATGTTAATTAGCACGTTAATTATTCTAATTGTTCGAAGAATTTATACGCTAATTATTCAGTCTCAAAGGTTAGTGCGCAAAAATCACAAATTTCATTTTTACGGTACTGTCTTGTGCGGCAGCCCCATGGCGATATGCGTTTCTTGATATAGAACTTTTTTTAGAAAAAATCTTTAATTAATATCAACCTATTCATGTTCTAATAAATATTCTCTAAAATTATCATTAGGAACAAAGTAAATGAAACTTACTAGTGTAAGCTTGAATTTGCACGAGACTAGGAATAAGTCATCCTTTGTCAAAGAATATAGAGAAAATAAACTATTAAATTAAATAACTATTAAATAATGTTTTAATCTATGTAGTCGCGTTCTCTTCAGTTTCATTCATAAAGTTCGAAGTTGTTCAGAAACAAAGTTCGATTAGATTATTATTTAGGGGTTTTATTTGAAGTAAGATTTGTTTGAAAATCGAAGTAACGGTACATGTTAAATTTCATTTTACATAAAAGCGCTATTCGAATGTTTGGTTGCGGTCATTTTACGGTTAATGAATTCACTTTTTAATTTTTAGGATATCACTTTGCCATTTAAAAGGCTTGCTAAGACGAATGAAAGAGTTTCGCTATGCAGTGTAAAGGCATTCCCCAAAGCTGGTATACAAATCCATTCCGCTTCTATCCTTAACGTCGCTTGTCTATTATAGTTGTCTGTATGATCTATCACGACTTCCTATACTAACGAACATAACACTACGAACATAACGCAAAAAGACGGGCATTCATACGGCACGAACACATCAAACTACTGGGTTTGCCGATGTGAAATGTACACTATCGGACTGCAGTTATCAAACCTGGATTGATCAAAGTGAGACCCTGATTCTACCACGCATACTGTACTCGACCGTCATTTCCAAGAATGATCTGCCCGCTTGCTAATAATTCCATCGCTTTAGGGAAACAGATGTGTTCAGCTTTCTTTACTCGTTCTTGAAGGCTTTCGACCGTGTCATTTGGCAGGACTGGAACAGCTTCCTGAGCTACAATGGCACCGGCATCGACCTCTTCCTGTAACACGAAATTTGGGGAAATTTTCTAGAGTGGAAATGGGCCTTTACACTAGTTCACAAAGTAACGTAAAGGCCTGTAACACGAAATTTGGGGAAATTTTCTAGAGTGGAAATGGGCCTTTACACTAGTTCACAAAGTGAAAAGCTTACCAGACCTCTAGGAAGACTAGATTAACTAGGAGTTATCTATGCAAGCAAATTAAAGTTATTTTAATTTAGGTTTCTGGTAAGGGATTACCCTTATTAGGCTTCCACAAATAACAGTTTAGAACTGATGTCATAGACCTATCAAACATAAATGTTTATTTGGGTTTCTTCCTGCAGTAACACTGGTCCAGATCAATAAGGACTATAGGGAGAACAGTTTACAGATAGAGCCACCCAGTATACGAGTATAAATAAAGTTAGTTTAGTTCAGGTTTCCTTCTGTAGTAACACTGGATCAATACCAGACGGCCTTTACTGCAGACATCTAAAGAGAACAGTCTAGAAGAAATAGAGCTATCCAGTAAGAGTACTGAGTTACTTACCGCGACAAAATGTACGCTACAGCCGCTAACTTTGACCCCAGCCTTTAAGACATCCCTATGTGCGTGCATCCCTTTGAAGGACGGCAACAAAGACGGGTGGGTGTTCAGCATTTTACCACGCCACTTGTTCACGAACCCCCCGGTCAAAATTCTCATAAAGCCAGCCAAACATACAAACTCTACGTCAGATTTCTGCAGAGCTGTGTCGAGAGCCATGTCAAAGTCTGCGCGTGAGGAGAAATTCTTGTGGTTTATTACCTGTAGAGAAGGATAGCATAAAAAGTGGTTAGACCATTAGGGAGAGTACATACGGGATTTCTAAGGAGAACAGTTTAGAACTGACAGAGCTATCCAGTATAAATGAAGTTAGTTTAATTTAGGTTTCTTCCTGTAGTAAAACTGAACAAGAGAGGATGTCCTTTACTAAATCTCTAGCTATAGACAGAACAGTCTACATGCAACTGATAGACCTATCCAGTATAAATGAAGTTAGGTTTTCTCCCGTAGTAAAACTGTGACTAATAAGACAAGAGCCTTATACTAAATTTCTAGGGAGAATAGTTTATAAAACAGAGTGATTTAGTATAAAGACTATGCATTATAACCGTGAAGTTATTGTATTCCACCTACTATTAATAAAACAAGAACCAAAAAAATGCTTACGACAGTCGGTATCCCAGCATTCTCAGCGCGCGTCAAGCCTTGAACACCCTCGACATTAGATATGACGAGCACGATTTCCGCCGAGCTTCCTGGCTTGGCCGCGTGATTGATAAGGGCCTGAAGATTAGTCCCAGATCCCGAGATCAGCACTCCGACACGACTTCGCTTCTTCTGACATACACCATTAACCATCATGCTTTGCGCACAACTTTCACGCAGCTTTTCCGAGAAAGCATCCACCATGACCGCCACAGAACTTTCTTGAACTACACCAATAATGCTCGCCTGTTCGGAATGGTCTTGTAAATGTTTCAGAACTGTCAGCGAGTCTTCGTTCGCGCATATTAGAACGGCACCTAAGCCACAGTTGAATGTACGCAGCATTTCATTTGGCTCGATGTTACCCGCCTGACTGATCCACCCGAAAACGGACGGGATGTTCCATAAACCCGCATTCAGGCTCACACCCAAACATTCAGGTAGTACTCGAGGGATGTTCTCTAACAATCCTCCACCTGAAATGGTAACGAGTAAAATAGCGCAGGGGTTATCGCATGTGTCCATCACCTCCGTGACTCTTGACCAATTCTTGTGGGAATCCAAGTGTAGGTTGTATAATTTCTATACTATAAAGCTGCTGTGGTTTGTGTCTGAACTACCTGAAAAAGATATCTGAAACGCGGTGGTCCAGTGTAGGTAGTATTCTACAATAAACTGCCGTGGTTTGTGTCTGAACTACGTGAAAAAGATATCTCAAACAATGGGGACCACTATAGGTAGTATTCTACAATAATCCGCCGTGATTTTGTCTGAACTACCTGAAAAAAGATATCTCAAACATAGGGCTGGTTGTTAATAATCTACAATAAGCTCAGGTTTACTCGCATGACTACCAAGGGAAGGTCCTTTCTGTACTTCTAGTCTAGATTGAACGGTTTAGAACCGATAGAGCTAGGAAAATACATCATACCTGTGACATGAACAAAAGCTTTCACATTTCCAGCTTTCATAAGTGGCAACAAACTCTTCACATAAATTCTGGTTGGGGTCAGCAATACCTCGCCAAAACTTCTGGCTTTATCAAAGGGGCATGGTGAATCAAAGGCCAAGCCATGAACCTCTAGAACTTTCCGAACCAAACTGTAGCCGTTGCTATGTAGACCTAACGGTAAAGATAGAGGATGCTATAATCATCTTCCCTTCTACCCGAGTGCTGAATTGCAAAAGACCCAGCTCAAACGTGACCGAGGGTCCCTTTTGCATGTTGCCATCATAAAATCCATGTCTGATCAAGGCCGGGGCACAGAGTACAGATAATGTGGAAGGGCTAGTTTTTGGTGAAGAAGGTAAACTTGTGTACCCAGAAAATTATTTAATGGCAGTTATTTTTACTTGGTACGTGTGTGTAAGAAGTATACTTAACCTGTTATATACAGTGTTCCTGCCAGGGGTTCAATTATTTTACCTGAGGAAGCCAGACCAATGACGACATCGCCAGGCGTGATGTTGTCTTTCTGTGGAAGCATCTTAGAACGTTCAACTGCTCCGACAGCAAATCCAGCCAGGTCGTATTCACCTGACGCGTACATCCCCGGCATTTCTGCGGTCTCGCCTTCAATAAACAAAATTCTTTACTATACTGTGCCACAGCAACTGTCCAGTCACGCATACGTGATAAAAAGCCGATATATAAACTTGATAGACAAAATATAATGATAAAACGTAACAGAACGGCGAACATGCAGATTCGGCCATCTTAAATAATAGAATTATTGGGATAGTAGCGTTGCAGACTGCAGAGGAGAGTGGGCAGTAAGGCTCCCTCATGCACCACCCCATAGAAAACCTGCACCCCTCCTTGCAGATGAGGCTAGATCCGCCTCTGACAACAAGACTCTTAATGAATCTCTAGTAAGGACAGTTTAGAACTTGTAGAGCTATCCAGTATAAATAAAGTTAATTTAGTGCAGGTTTCCTCCTGTAGTACCACTGGATCAGTAAGAGATGATCCTTACTGGACCTCTAGGAAGAACAGTTTAGAACTGATAGAGCTATCCAGTATAAATAAAGTTAGTTTAGTTATATCATTACCTCCTAGGAGAGCACACTCGGCCATTTTGCACCCACTGGCAACACCTTCAATGACTTCTTTGGCTACGGAAACGTCCAGTTTACCAGTAGCAAAATAGTCGAGAAAAAACAACGGTTCTGCACCATGAGCCAAGATATCATTCACACACATTGCTACCAGGTCAATACCGACCGTTGAATGTAAACTACAGCTTTGAGCAATCTGAAAAGGTGCAATGAAAAGTTATAGAATTCTACCTATAGTAAAAACTATCATCAGGTTTATCTGCTATTCAATATATAAATGTTACAGCTATAAGTCCTAATTTTTCAAACTACCTTCAGTTTAGTACCAACTCCGTCAGTTCCGCTGACCAAAATAGGATCCTTATATCCAATCGCTTTTAAATCAAACATTCCACCAAACCCTCCAAGATCCCCTAAACACCCTGCACGTAGAGTAGCCCTCGCCAGCGGCTTAATTTGCTCAACCAATCGATTTCCACTGTCCATATTAACACCTGCCACAGAGTACGTCATTGCGGATTTTCTACATGAAGTTTAATTAAAATCAAAGAAAAATACATCATTCTTAAAATTGAACAAGAGAACATTTCTAATCAACTCCAGTCAACTCTTATGTAACTATTGTTCGCGCTTGACTGAGGCATCGAGAGTTGAGAAAACTCATGCAAACTCTCTTGCCAACTCCCACCCTTGCTTGATCAAGGATTCGTAAGAGTGACTGGATTAGTGGATGGTACGAAAAACAGTCAGTGGGATTTTAGAAATTATTATTATTCCTCATGTAGTGATTTATACTCCACAAACCTCAAAGCCTTATCAGCAATATCTTTTCTATAATGAGCATTTTCAAAAGAAATTTGTTGTACAGCTTCGTACGCTTTCCTTTGTGCATCTTGAAGAGTGCTTGACACAGCCACGGTACACAGAACTCTGCCTCCGGCTGTCACAAGTTGCTTACTATCTGAATCAAATCTTGTCCCGGCTTGGAAAACAACGATATCTTCACTTTCCTAGTTAAAATTTAAAATTAGTTAAATTTACACCTGGTTTACATGAGACAGGGACGAAATAAAAGCTGGAAGATTCGGCTATGTTCATATTGTTGCCTCTATGGTCTTGTTTACATGAAAACAGGGAGTGATTCAAACGGTCATAATATTGTCTCTAGTCAATGTTAAATGAGACCGCTGCCTATATTAGCCTAACTGAAGATAGATCTTAGTCCATCTTACTGCTACAATTCGCAAAGGTCTTGCCATCTAGCGAATATCAATACTATCATTCCTAGATGAGTCAGTCAACTTTGCCCTACAATCATATCTATAAAGCTTGCTGTTTGTGAATTTGGCATCGTGCATTGTGTGTATATACAAGAGTTTCAATCGGGCATTCCCAATACCTCAGCCGTCAGAATGTTGATATGTTAAGCTACATAGAGACCATTGTTGATTTTAAGTTGGGACATTTAGAGATCTTTTCATCAAGTGATTTTACTCCGGTGCAACTATTGTTACCTTAAACTTTTCTGTGCCATTGACAGGGTATCCTTTTTCATATGAACCAGGGTAACCACCGCTGGCCATGACCACACCTACAGCAGCTCTGTCTTGATGCCACAATGGTATGGCCGCTGAGAGATCGCCACTGACTGCTTCCATAATGGTAGCATAAAGGTCTGACTTCATCAAGGGAAGAATGACTTGTGTTTCTATAGAATCGTTTTAGGATATTACGTATGTTTACATTCATGTCATGATATTGGATGTCACATTCAGTCATGCAAGACATTCCAGATGCTGTGTTTCAAATGTTGTCCTTATAGCTATAAAATTGTGTGTTCCTGAACAATTGTTACTCGTTGAAAAGCTAGCATCTGAGTTATAGAAAATACTATCCAAGAGTATGAAATTTTTACCAAGAATGATGTCACAACCATCAGGCCATGGTAACTATGAAGTTTCAATATGGCTGCTGATTTTTTCGGCTTTAAACTAATGAAACTCAAAGAAAAAAACAACAACAGTGTCCCCAGAACATCGACGTTTCAAGTGAAGGCCCTTCATCATTGAGTTAGTAGCATGAAGTGAAGTAGTTCATGCTACTAATTTCCAGACAAAGGGCCTCCGCTCAAAACACCAAAGTTCTGGTTATATTTTTTAGGTAGTTGTGTCCCTTATGTATGTTGCACTTCCTAGTTCCATTACCTGGATCACCAAAACGACAGTTAAACTCAAGACATTTAGGTCCTTGAGACGTAAGCATGATTCCAGCAAAGAGAACACCCACAAACGGGCATCCATCTTGATTCATTCCATCCACAGCTTTTTGAAGAACATTGTCCACAATGTGCTGTAACTGTGCTTCTGAAAGCTGACGAGAGAACATGCAATTTTAGGCCTGCAGCCAGTGGTGAACTGGCAAAGAGGTTTTTAAAATAGCATTGTTTTAAAGCTTAGGGTCTGTTTATATGGCTCTGCTTAGCGAGACAGCCCGGTGAGATGAATTTCTCTTGTGTTTATATGAGAAAATTTCATTCCGCTTGCCGGGACAATTTTGTTACATAGATGTTGTTTTGACAGTTGTTAAAAATAGCTTGCAGCGGTATCTTTGAACTTAACTTTCATCCCGGCAACCGGGCTAGCCCGCTTGTGAGTGTTTATATGGAGAAATTTCCATCCCGGTAAGAGAGATCTCGCCTCTTTCAAGCGAGATCTCAGCAACCGGGACAGCCCACTTGTCCATATAAATGCATGATAATTTTTACTATAAAAATAAGTACACAGCGAGATCTCGCTTACGGGCTGTCTCGCTAAGCGAGCCAGCCCGGCTTCCATTAATAAACAGGCCCTTAATGTTCAAGAAAAAAGCTTGTAATAATGAAAATGGTTGCATGACTTGAATCAGACCAAATTTAAAATGTTGTGAGTCAGTTCCGTTGACATTTGTTGGTTCTACTAATAATGTCAAAAGCTATTTCTATATGAGAATACAGATTAAAGAACATGTCTCGTGACAAAATACCAATCATGGCTAGCAGTTGAAGAACCTCAGGTTTCTGTTTCATACCTCATTGCATGGTGCATATGCCCCCATACCGCCAGTGTTAGGTCCCAGGTCCCCATCGTATGCTTGTTTGTGATCTTGAGCAGGAGGCATGACTGCAATATTTTTGCCATCAGAAAATGCCAACACCTAGTTAGAACACAATGTTTATTCAAATTGTAATGTATATGCAGGGGTTGTGTGTAGGTGTCCGAGTTACCTGAAAAAGATTAAACTGTTATCGACTAAATTTAAAGTGCCTATGACACGAAATTTCACCCCAAATGTTTATGATTGCATTGTAAAGATCACTTAAAATGACTTAATAATTTCTTTTATAGAATTTTTGTAACTTGCTCACTTTTCAAGATATTCAACTTTGTTTAATTATGCAAATATCACCGGTGTAACATCACATCACATATAATGAGTTTTCACAAAAGTATAGTTTTCTTGACGAATACGTATCTAAAAAACTTAAAAATTGCCCTTGTATATGTATTAATTTCTAACGCTCTATATTTGTTTGTAAAAATATTTTATCAAGGTAAAATATTGCGTTTTCAAAATGTCATTATGCGATGTGATGTCACATCCGCGATATTTGCACATGAAACAAAGTTGAATATCTTGCAAAGGGAGCAAGTTTCTATACTAAAAGAAATTACTAAGTCATTTTAAGTGATCTTTACAATGCAACCATGGCATAAACCTTTGGGGTGAAATTTCATGTCATAGGCACTTTAATTAACATCCAACATGTGCTGTTAATGCATATAATTTGATATGCACGCACATACTGTATTTATATACTCACTGAAATTTCACGTCCATCAAGCTTCTCTTCAATTAGAATTGTATTTCCAGCTTCGCCAAAAGCATTATTCTATGATAAAAATACAACTGAGTTTAACTTGCATTTCTTTCAGTTGTTGGCTGGACATTAATTCTTGTTATATTGTCAATAAATTATCTGGTGTTAGACAGAGTAAAATAATAAAGAACTGGCAGATCAGGAAGCATTACACTTGAAGGGTTAAAATACTCAGCGCTTCCTGTATTACAGGAAGCACTGAATATTTTGAGTATGCTTTCAAATTCATCCCATACCTGTAAAATATTGACAACAGCTTTTTCTGCCTTGTCAGTGTTCTCTGCAACTATAACCCCTTTCCCACCGGCCAACCCGTTCGCCTTAACCACCAATGCAGAATACCCTGCAGTGCGGACATGCTTGCGTGCAGATTCACAATCCGTAAATGACTGATAACGTGCAGTGGGGATACCGTGTCTTGTCATAAAATCCTTTGCAAATACTTTACTTGTTTCAATTCTTGCTGCATCTTTTGTTGGACCAAAACATGGAATGTCACATTTTGACAAGTAGTCCACAATGCCCTCTGCTAAAGGGGCTTCAGGTCCAATAACTATCAAATCCACATTCGCCTCTGAGCAAAACGATTTCACTGTTGAGTGATCAGCAACATTTATCGAAGCAACATTCTCGATTCTGTCCATAGAATTGTTGTTCTCTTGAGCAGAACCGCCATTCCCAGGAGCGACATATACTTTCCGGACGTGCTCAGATTGCGCTAATTTCCAAGCCAAGCAATGCTCCCTACCACCGCTGCCGATAACCAGCACATTGTCCGACATTGCCAGAAAGTTTATGGAAAAAGTTTGACTGGTTTGAAGGACAAAAACCTTGGGGAAACAGCCTTTTAAAACATCAATTTTTCGTCAGAACCACACGTGCGATTGGACACAATTCAGAATTTTAATTAGTTCATGCTCAAAACAACAAGATGGAAAGGAGCCAATCAGAAACTAGGCCCAGGGCTTCGCCAAATTATTCAGGGGTAGTAAGCTTGGCTTTTGCGGTAATAAGGGTTCATGTCCATAAATAGCCATCAATATACATCGATAACTACATGTAATATCATATGCAATCATGCACTATCATATAATACCATATAAAATCACATACTATCACGTCGCATCCTATTGTATCATATAATATCATATAACATCATATGCTATCATTAGAATAGGAGAAAGTAAATAATAAAATAAATACTTTGAAATAATGAAAAAGAAACGGAATCTAAACATGTTTAACCAAATTTTCAAGCGTGAAATTGGACTGCATAACCCAAGGAAGCTTGCCGAATTGAAAAAGACTGAAAGAATACTCTCTTTGCAACTGAGTTCAGAAAAAACTTTTCAGGAAGTTCCTGGGGATTTAAATACTGGCGGTGTCAATTCGCTTTCACTTTCTCCAGATCTGTTTGGGAGGCGGTATTTGCTCTCTGCAACATCAAGGGGCACTATAGCGATTCACGATTTGAACACTAGGGATGGGGGAGTGTGTAAGATAATTGCACATCTTCATCCAGGCGAACCACCCATGCATAGTCGGAATGTCGAAACTGTTAGTTGGTACCCACACGACTCTGGGTTATTTTTGTCCAGGTAAAATATTAAGATTATCCTAATGTTTAAAATTTTGTAATAATATGTTGATCAGATACAAGCACTGAATTGTCTTCATTCTGTTCTAATATATAGCTCAGTGGACTGTAGTATCAAAGTATGGGATACTAACGCAATGCAACCTGTTGAAAACTTCACCCTACAAGATATAATCTACCACCACCAAATGTCACCGGTTGCTACATCGCATTCTCTAGTTGCTGCAGCTTGCCGAGATTCACGAGTATACCTTGCAGACCTACAATCTGGTTCGGCAACGCACATTCTTAAAGGGCACAAGAAATCTGTCCTGTCCTTAGCCTGGTCTACCAAGGATCCATTCATACTTGCAAGCGGTAGCAGTGATAACAGGGTGTTACTTTGGGATATTCGGAACGCCTCTGGTGCTGTTCTTGGGTTGGACCAACATAACGGTAAACAGACTTCTGAATTTGCAAAACACAAAACTGCACATAATGGTCATGTTAATGCAATGTCTTTTACGTCAAATGGGTTACACTTGGTTACCTATGGTACGGACGATCGGCTCCGGTTATGGGATGTGACAACTGGTCGAAACTGCCTAGTTAACTATGGGCGTATTGCTAACCGCTGCAATAAAGGAGTTCAAATAGCTGTAAGCGACACTTCACAAGAGTTGGCATTCCTACCCACTCTCAGTGATCTTCTAGCAGTTGACATACACTCTGGTAAACATGTTATGAAATTAAAAGGACCTTATCGTAGTGTTAATTGTTGTGTGTATGAAGAGAACTATCAGGAACTGTACAGTGGCTCAAATGACACGTTTATTCTAGCTTGGCAGCCTCAGAGAAGGGTGGTTGAAAGTCTCGAAAGTTCATCCGACACAGATGGTGACCTGAGGACTAAACATGGCCCTAATATATACCAAGACACATGGAGTAGTGATGAAGATTGTTAAGTTTTGTCTTTAAATGAAGGACGATTTAACATCCTGTGCCGTGACAGTAACCAACATAAAGGATCTGAAGGCTCCCACTTTTCATTGGATTGACAATGACATTGAAATAAAAAATATATCACCTTGAATTTATGTCTAATTGTTTTCAATTGTTCATATCTTGAGTTTACAAGTTATTCAGAATTTGCTTTTCCTTATGTCTCACACATTCTACTACAATCCATCTAATCTGTTACACCTTTACTTATAATAACACTACAAAATTTTTAGGCTGTATACAGTACAACTTATCTAGTTACTAGCTATTTTTGACAAAAAATTCACTATGGCATGCAATTAATTAAAACACAAAAAAATTTTACATAATAAAATTTGTATAATTATACTACAATAATCCAACACTCATCAACTTTAATCCTTATTTGGTACTACAAAAAGAGGTTGTGAATATTCATTTAAAGTGCCTGCATGAACGGTAGCCATGACACAACTGTTCTTACAAGATGTCCTCACAACCAACTTCTGCCCAGAGATTACATCAACCTTCTCTTTAAACATTATAACAACTTGATTAAAATGACAGCCAGTTTCTGGGTCTGTGCTCACCGTTTTTCCTTCTGTATAGCCAAGGTTGAACCAATACATCAGACCATCAGCCTTTCCTTGTTTCGATGCTGTCATGTGTGTATCACATGTCACATTCAAGAGGGAAAGTAAGGAATCATCATCATGAGGTTTCATAAAATCCAATGTTAGAAGTAGTGCTGGATCAGACAGTGAGACAAAGGGGTTGCTTTTGACATCAAAATCAATTTGGTTTTTGACTCGAAAAGTGTTGATAAAACCTGCAAAATAACAAAATTAGCATTTTGTATCATGGCATAAATATATCAACACAATGAGTGACTGGATGGCATGGAGAACAGTGGCATTTTCCAAACAATGGAAAGACAATGGGACATTTGGATCACTGGATGGATGATATACTATTGCTACTAATAATAAAGACAATGACCTGCAATGTCAAGGCCTAATGTGACATCATCACTAGTCACATGACTTTTCTGACATAATGATCTAGAGCTGATCAACATTCCCCAGACTTCAATCTTTCTCGGCAAGACTATCCCAACATCCTTAGGGAGCACACATCCTTTGGCAAGCACAATATCTTCGACCACTCCTTGCCTCAGCTGCCCGCCTGGTTCGATAGGGTCGATTATCAGGACGCCCCAGCCTTCGGTTCCAGCTAGCACTTCAAGGGGCTTGTCCATGAAACGAAGGCTTCCTGAGCATTCCCTCTCACCAGCTAGTGTTTTCAAACACTGCATAAAATTTGTGTCATTGGTGATGCAAACAACGGGTGAAAGTCCTGACCATAATGCAAACAATGGATTGAAAGTCAGTGAACTGCATAGCACAATGCATCCCAGGGTTGAATAGTTGGTGGAAGATAATTTCAGCTTCTCAAAAGCATCCGAGAGTGCCTCATTGCAACTTTCGGTTAAATCAGCATCATTTAACTTGCTTATATCTTGATAAGGCAATGTGATACTTTCACTTAATTCAACATCATTCAACTTGTTTAGCTCTTGATATGGCAAATTTGTACTAGTATTATGCTTACAGCTTGCTGGAACAGCGTGACCGCTTTCAACATCATTCAATTTGCTTAGTTCTTGAGAAGACAAAATACCATCAACCTTAGGAGATGGCTGAATAGACTGACTTCTAGTAATGTCCAGAACGTCCAGACATATTGCACTGCTTGTCAGTCGGACATTCAATATGACTTCATCACTGGCCTCAACAGTTTGTTCACCTTCTGAGAGTCGGCATGGATAGACAGCCTGTTCCCAGCATACACTATGACCTGGAGCACTCGACAAAGTTTCCTGAGCATCCAACCTTAGTTCAAACCACACCATAATAGCATCTAAACAGCCTGATCTAACAATTGAAACATTAAGGTTGTCCTTAGATTCTTCCATGTAGTTCTCAGGTGTTTGGAAATCATAAGTTGTTATGTGGAAAGGATTCGATAGAGTCACATGGTCAATACAGCTCATCTCTTCAGTTGTGTAAGGCTCTTCACCTTTTTCAGAAATTTCGGCACCTCGGATATGGACACTACTTACATCATGGCTAAAAATAGCCTGCTTTACTTGGGAATAATTTCTGATCTTCTCGCATTGGATTAGCTGCCCATACACAATAGCTCCCTTGGGAATAATTTGAGCTTTCAGATTGGCTGCTAAAAGCTCATGTTTTGCATGGGTTAATGTACTTATGATTCCCTCCCCTAGTAAACCGCAATCTAAGGTCTCGGTAACAATCAGTGAGACTTGCCCAGGCAGGTCACCAGGTATTGTCAAATCATGTGACTTCTTGTTAATCACATGGACAGAATCTTTCATCTGATTGGCTGACAGGATATCCAATGAAAGATCATACATTGTTTTGGACATTTCACAAGCGTACACTTCTTTGGCACCAGACTGGACTGCAAACATGCTTAAAATACATGTTCCACTACCAATATCTAAGACTCGACCACACCCATTTTTCACAGCACGATCTATAGCATTCCTATAGGCTTGATTTCGTTCCTTGTCATTAAGCATCCGAAAGTGCCATCGTTCGACAAGCACGTTTGCAATAGAGTCTAAGTTCTCCTCGGCACTGCTGAGCTGTGGATCGAGCTTTAGTGCCTGACGGAAGTGGACAGCAGCCTCGTCAAACAGGTTTAACCGGAACAGGGTGGAGCCAACATTGTTTGCAATTTGGGCCGACTTCGGGAAAAGTTTGCAAGCTTCTTCTAAGCATTTTACCAAGTCTTTCAATTTGCCATTTTCTGCTAGGATACTGCTCCAGTTTTTCAGAGCGAATAGAAAATCGTCATGGACTTGGTCGCCTAGCAAT